GCTTTTAATACTAGCATTCCAGAAGCAGAGATCTGACTGAATCTCTGTGAGTTCAAGGCCACACTGGAAACAGCCAGACATGGTAACAAGAACCTTTAATCCCAGGAAGTGATGGCAGAAAGCAGCAAGGTATATAAGGCATGAGGACCAGGAACTAGAGCTGGTTAAGCTTTTAGGCTTTTGAGCAACAGTTCAGCTGAGGTTCATTCTGGATGAGGACTCTGAGGCTTCCAGTCTGAGGAAATGGGATCAGCTGAGGAACTGGCAAGGTGAGGTGACTGTGGCTTGTTCTGCTTCTCTGATCTTCCAGCATTCACCCCAATACCTGGCTCCAAGTTTATTTTTATTAATAAGAACTTTTAAGACTCATGCTACGGAAGTTTTGTTTGTGACTTTCAGAAACATGGAAGGATTGCAGAAATCTGGAAGCATTACAAAGATTGGTCTTGACTTTTTCTCCTGTTCCAGTCTGACCAGCACACACAGATAGAGATACAATACAGATGCTCTTTCCTCAACTGACCCCTCAGAGAAGGCAGGAGTGGGCTGTGATCACATTGCTCTGAGCAGCCGTTAGCCCAGGGACTTTAACTGTTGAACAGGACTGCGGTGGGACCACACAACAGCAGTCGTTTTATACTTTCCCTTAAACAGGGCTGAGGAAGGGAGGAAGGGGAGGAGATGACAGAGACATGCTCACTGGAAAAGACTTGAGCTGTTTTTTTTGGTTTGTTTGTGTTTTTTTTTTTTTTTTAAGAAGTCAGCTGAAAGAAATCAAGAAATATTCTAATAGTTGTAACAGGAATCTTAAAAGTTCTTATTAATAAAATCAAACCTGAGCCAGGTATTGGGGTGAACTGGAAGATCAGAGAACCAGAACAAGCCACAGCTAAACTTACCTGACCAACTTCTCAGCTGGTCTTGTTTCCACAGACTGGAGGCCTCTTTGTCCTCATCCCAATGGCTCTCAGCTGAACTTCTGCTCAAAAGCCTGAAGCTTAACCAGCTAAAAGCTTAACCAGCCAAATGCTTCTAGTTCCTGGCCCTCATGCCTTATATATCTTTCTGCCTTCTACCATCATTCCCTGGGATTAAAGGCGTGAGTTACCATGATTGGCTGTATCCTTGAACACATGGATTTCTGCCTAACTCTGCCTCCCAAGTGCTGGGATTAAAGGTGTGTGCTACCACTGCCTATCCTCTATGTTTAATATTGTGGCTGTGCTGTCTTTGACCCCAGATAAGTTTATTAGGGTGCACAATATTTCGGGGAACACGATACCACCACAAATAGTTTGCAGAAATCTTTAAATAAATCTACATTACAACCCGAAAAGAAGAACTACCACAGAAAACATTCAAATAAACTGGACTCAAATTAAAATCACAAAACTCAGGACCAATTCAGCAAACTGGAAAAAAAAAAGTAAGTCAGCACAAACATTCTAGTAAAAACAAGAACTGCAAAGGTATCAGCATTTCAGTTAGCACTTACAAGTCTCTCATTAAGTGAGCTCACCACACATATTTCTCAGATATATTAATTTTTATTAAATTATGTTTTTATTGCTACAAGAATTATTACCTAGAATCTTTAGAAAATTATAGATCATTTAAAAAAGTAAACTCAAATCACCTGTACTCCTTTTATCCAAAGAGAAAAGATATACAGCTTATAGACAGATGTAATCAAAATACCTATGTATTTTTATCATCCACCATCTACCTCTATTCATCTTAATATTAATATGGAAACATGTTAATAATGGTTAGTGAAGTATTTCAAGTATTTATAATCCTTTTCCCTTTTCTACCTTTCTGTTGTCTAATTTCAGGTTCAATCGATCTATATTATTTTAGAGCAAAAATTAAATTATTGGTACAAATGGAATAGGCACCTGTAGCTAGAGTTTTCCTGCCTGGCCCACAGTCAGGACAAATCTCTCTCACCCGCCAGCCCCACAGCCGCTCAAACCCGACCAAGTAAGCACAGAGACTTATATTGACTACAAACTGTATGGCCGTGGCAGGCTTCTTGCTAACTGTTCTTACAGCTTAAATTAATCCATTTCTATTAATCTATACCTTGCCACATGGCTTGTGGCTTACCGGCATCTTCACATGCGGCTTGTCATGGTGGCGGCTGGCAGTGTCTCTCTCACTCAGCCTTCCACTTCCCAGCTCTATTCTCCTCCTTTTCCCGCCTATACTTCCTGCCTGGCCATGGGCCAATCAGTGATTTATTTATTGACCAATCAGCAACACATTTGACATACAGACCATCCCACAGCAGGCACCAATGCAACTAAATTAATATGAATAAAAATACCCACTGAAGAGATCATAAAAAATAATAAATACATAAGTTTATGCAAATCACAATACTATTTCTGAAACATCACAAACTAAGGGGAAAAAGTCACAATGTACACATAACATAGTGTTAATAGTGTATAAAAAACTTACCAACTGTTAAGAAAACTCTATAACCTGTAAGACTGAGAACAAAATAAATGATCCTAAAATGCATGGGTAATTAGCTAATCATCCTATGGAAGTAAAACCACATATGCAATGTGAAGGTGGTTTTGAAAGGTATCATACCCAGAATAGCTTTAAAGTACTAAGTTGAAGTGTTTCTGAGATTACAATAGAATAGATATGTATGCACAATTACTATGTTGCTTTACTCTCTGCAGGAAAAATGACCAGTTCTGCAAGAATTTACCACATTCCTCCCATTAGAATGAGACTTTAAGTAATTGAAACTGTCATCTGTGTCTTGGTCGCTCTGGACATTCAGTCCCCTGCAGCACTCTCCCTCTTTGTCTCTGCACCTTCTCTACACTCGCCATTTTCCAACCCCGATGCCTCTTGTTCCTTCAGTTTTACTCCTAACCTCATGACCTCAGTGACATCTTTTTTCCTAGATTTAGTCAGGTAATTTGCTTATTCAATAGTGTATATTAATCATCTAACAGAGTTAGCATTAAAAATATACAGTATATAAAGTGTTCATAATACACAGTATTTATTTTTATTTATTTTGAAACAGCAGGAAACTGAAGCTGAATTAAATAATATGATAAAGATATTACCACATACCTGTAAGAGTGCCTATTATAGATGCTTCAGAACTCATAATTATGTATAATTTTTAAAATATGAGAAATAATATAATTCTAATGTAATTTGGATACATGCCATAGATAAACTATGAGCTATATAACTTCTAATGAACCAGTTTGTTGAATTTGTTTGACACTGACTAGTGACATTAAAGGAGCTTTTGTCTTTGAATTTGTTTTGTTTGGTTCTTTTTGTATCATCTCTTATCTTTGTGCACATTCTAAACTTATTAGTTAAAATACAAGTATTGATTTTGAAACCTCCCAGAGAAAATGAACCATGCCTTTGTATACAGAAATATATCCAGGCTTCAGAAAACTGATACACTGTGTAGTTTGTCAAAGACAAACTTAACCTCATATATTAAGTTGTATATAATAATGAAATTCGTAAATGAAGAGATGCCATTGAGTATAAGTTTCTATATACATATGTGCATGTGTGTTTGCATGTGTATATGTATATGCAAACTTCACACATGTTCTACCCTTGGAATATCCTTCTGTGCTTTGGTTAGATACAATGTTAAGTGTTTTATTTATTTATTTATTTATTTATTTATTTATTTATTTATTTATTTATTTAGTTTCTTTGGGTTTTTTTTGTGTGTGTGTGTATGGGCTTTTCTTTGAATGTGCTTTTCAGCAGAATCTATCCTCAACACAAACTGATGTAGGATGGACTCATTTCAAAAGGCTGAACCAGAAGAGTATGGAGAATCTTTTCATTAGTGCTCTAGTCCTTTTTCCACAGATAGACTCTACTTCTCTAGTTATTTTTCCACTATTACGACAATTGCTACTACATCAAACACCCACTAGTAATAAGAACTTTGACATTTAATGGTGAAAACAATAGTAATTTTGTGAGAAATAAAACTGTACACAGCAGAAGTGATCTTTTCTGTTCTTCAGCTCTGCATTGTACATGTCAGGGGTGATCACAGCTGTCTGTCTTGGTGTCCTTCCTCTGGGTCTTCCTGTGGAAATGGTATCAGTTCTCCAGTCTTTTTTGAAGATTTATTTTCACAATGTGAATGCTTATTTTCACAAAAAAAGTTGTGTTAGAGTTCTCTATAGTCACAGAACTTATGGAATGAATCTCTCTTTCTCTCTATATATAATATACATAATACATATATAAATACATACATACATATATACATGAGAATTTGTTGGAATGACTCACAGGCTGGCATTCAACAATGGCTAGCTGTAAGTGGAAAGTTCAAGCATCCAGTAGTTGCTCAGTCCACAAAGCTGGTTTCGCAGTTGGTCTTCTGTATATGTTGAAATTCAGAGGAACTAGGTTCTATGAAGGAATGGATGTGCTGACAAGGTGAAGGCAAGCAGGCCAGGAACAAACCATTCTTTCTTCCATTGTCCTTATATGCGCTTCCAAAGGATGAATAGTCTTGATTAAAGGTGTGCCTTCTCGCCTCAAGATCAGGATTAAAGGTGTATGTCATCCCACTTCAAGATCCAGATCAAAAGCTGTTGTCTTCCAGCCTCAAAAACTGGATCACAGATGTGTTCTCTATTTCTGGATTGTGGTTAATTCCAGATACAGTCAAGTTGACAACCCTCACAAAAGTCTTTACATAGAAGGGTCTGCAGGCCAATGTTTCTTTCCTGGCAAAAATGAGTGAATAAGCTATAGCATCAGGAGGCTGACTGAGTAACTGAACTTGAATGTGGGATAAAAATCCTACTGCAGAGAAAGAGCCCCAAGATATAGTTAAAGCAGTTGCAGGAGATTTAGTGTTTTATATTTGAACTACAAACTATTTGTAAGGACTAGTGAGTGTGAAAAAGGTCTTCAAGGATTTTCTCACCAGATTATACCAGGGTATTCCTTCCCATGACACACTGTTATGTGCCTCTGAGCTCTCCATTGTCACAGCACTTTAATGGCTGCAGTAACTCCAAAGAGACTTTCTTCAGCTGGTGGTTTGCTAGAATTAGAATAAATGAGTGACAGCATGAATACGTGAGCATAATTATCACACCTAGAATGAACAGCAGTTTTCCTTCTTGCCAAAAGAAACACAATATTTCTATGACCAAACCTGCAAAATACAAGATTAAGAGGATGATAAAAGAAATTAAAACTTTAATGGCTTTCACATGAGCTTCTGTGTTGAGGTCTCGGCATTCTGAGACATTCAATTGCATCTGCTTGTTGTGTCTCCAAAGAGAAATGATTAACAGGAGACTTGTAATAACAGCTATTATAAACAGGAAAAGCATTCCAAACTGAAAAAAGACATGATTAATAAGTAGCTCATTTGCCTGTAGGTGAACCTGCCAGGAGATGTTTCTGTATTGCATTTTAATATCATTGGTCATCTTCACAACTGTGCAACAGCAATAAACAATGAGACAAACAGGAATCCTACCAGAAAGCTAAACACTCTGTCAGCTCTCCACTTCAGCCAAATAAATATGTAGTGAGAAAAATTTGCTATCTTCAGGAAATAGAAGATGCTGAGGCTGGTAGCAAACCAGACACTCAGGTGATTCATAGTTACCCATGGGTAATTCATGTATTCATATAGCTTGCCATAGGTAAGTTTATGTATAGAGAGTAAGTTTGTATATGTGTCAAAAGTTATTATCCACATGAGACAAATCCGGGAAGTTGCCAAGCCAGTGAGAATGAAGCCAATCTTAGAGAGCTTCTTGTTCCTGGCACACTCTGTGCAGTTCACACATACAATAAATGCATTCCCTAAAACTCCCAGCACTGCTTCACTAGTGGCAATAAAAAGGAAGATGCCTTCCATTGCACTCAGCATCTCTGCAGATCCCTAAGAATGCTTCTGCTGCAGAATATTTCATAGATTGGCTGCCTGATGGAGGAGTGATTTTCTCTTCTTTATTTAATGAAGACATAGAAATGCCCAGGATTGGCCTGTGGTTATATCAGAAATATCTCCATAGGTTTCCTTTTTATTGCTTCTGTAGGACTTATAGTCCACAGAAGGTCAGGAGACTTGCTTGAAATTTGTTAGTAACCAAATGAAAGTTCCTGTTTCATGAATTTTATTGTATCCTCTAAGACTATTTTGCATAGAAACACTCAGCTATGGAGTAGAAGTTTCAGGCATATACTGCAGAATACTATATATAATATGAAGTAGCTTTGTGTATATTTTCAAATGCCAGCCATCAATATCAGCTTGGAATGGTGGCACATAGCTATCTGCAATTCCAGCTAAGACTGAGCTAGGGGAATTAGCATTACTCAAGCCAAGGACTAGTTCAAGAAAAACAAAATAAAACAAACAAACTAACAAACAAACAAAAACTCTAGCTATAATGAAAAAAGAAAGAAAAGGAAAAACAAAGAAATACAATTTGCTTTGCTTAAAACATAGTTTATATAAGGAAATAGAACATATAGAAGTAATAAATGAGTATTTCTACTTAGTCTGTAAAATGATCATTTTAAATAAAGCTGTGAGCTAAACTATAGAACTGGCAATTTTGACAAATATCTCTGAACAGCTACTGTGTCTCACATCCTGACAATTATGTCACTGCTTTTGTGACTTAATTCATGGTGGTCACTATTGATATGAATGGTCTTACAAATCCTTCCTTCAGTTAGCATATTTCATTTTGTTAACATTTATAACCTTCATTCCTTTAATTGCATTACCTAAGTGCTCAAATACTGAAAGCCTCTTTTTACCACTGAGGGGATATTGGTAGATAGAATCTTTAAGCTTTTGCGATTCATGAGGTGCACATTCAACAAAGGCAGGAAACTCTCAGTTAAACCAATTGGTTATTCTGAAGGTCAACAATGAAATCTAGCATTTAATAAGCCTTTATTATTTTCTCATCACTATGTTAGATGCTTTAGTCTCATTCTCCATTTCAATTTCAAATTGTGCCTTTAACATTGGTTCTATTTGTATTTTAATTTTAACTTTTTATTTTTTTGGCATTTGAATTAGGGTATTGCTATATATCCCAGTTTCTATAATATTCTGGAATCAAAAGAACATGTACTTCATGTGTTGTTGCTAGAGTTTTCCTGCCTGGCCCACAGTCAGGACAAATCTCTCTCACCCGCCAGTCCCAAGCCGTTCAAACCCGATCAAGTAAACACAGACACTTATATTGGTTTCAAACTGTATGGCCGTGGCAGGCTTCTTGTTAACTGTTCTTAGAGCTTAAATTAATCCATTTCTATTAATCTATACCTTGCCACGTGGCTTGTGGCTTACCGGTACTTTACATCTTCCTTGTCCTGATGGCGGCTGGCAGTGTCTCCCCCACTCAGCCTTCCACTTCCCAGCTCTATTCTCCTCCTTGTCCCGCCTACACTTCCTGCCTGGCCACGGGCCAATCAGTGATTTATTCATTGACCAATCAGCAACACATTTGACATACAGACCATCCCACAGCACTTCCCGTTTTCTTTTCTTAAAAAGGAAGGTTTTAACCTTTACACATCTCCAAAGTCAGCTTGGTATATTTGGGAATTTGGGCGTAGCTTCTCTTACTACTTCCTGCTGGAGGGGGGCGCTGTATCTTATGGGGACACAAAGAACATTTTAGGATTATGGAGTAGTCCATGAGGGTGTATTTGTCTGAGCCAGTTGCCTTGAAACGGTTCTGGATGTTGGATCATCTGGGCCATGGTGTCATCGGAGACCTTTCAGGGGGTCTTGGTTGGTCAAACCTGATGTGTCTTAATCTGGAACAAATCCATAGCTTCTGGCTTTCTGTGGAAACAAAAGCAGAATCTCCTTTCCAAAACAACATATCCTTATATCCAAATTTTGAAGTCAAGGTACCTTTAAAATTTACATTTTGGCATAACTCAACAGCTTTTACAATCAAATGTTTTTCTTTAGTTACTAATATTAAAGAGAACATAATCCAGATTCTCTGTGTGGTAGCCATCTTTACGTGGCTTATTTTTTTATATTAGCTTGAGCCTATTGCTTTAAACTGCAGCCTTCTAAGCCTGAAACGGCGCTGGCGCTGTGGCTGTTGGCTCCGCCCACTTTAGCTTCCCAACATGGTGGTGATACGTTTTCCGCCAGCTCTGGGAGCCATCAACTCTCAGAAATAGTGGGTCTATGCTTCTATCAAAGCAGCGTGTAGCCCAGAAACCTCTTTTGTTTTGTTTTGTTTTGTTTTGTTTTGTACTAGCAAAGGCTAAATCCACCACACAGCTTAATGTGCCACTTGCAGAGGCCTCATAACCGCCATACTGCAGGTGAGCATGCACGCACGCTAGGAACCGGCAGGCTGCCACTAACTTGAAAGAGACAACTAGAACAACTAGGAACTGTTTTTAGCTCCGTTTTAGAATCTTTTTTTTTAGGTTTTAGGTGGAAACTCTTGCCACCACGTTGGACGCCATTTGTTGCTAGAGTTTTCCTGCCTGGCCCACAGTCAGGACAAATCTCTCTCACCCGCCAGTCCCACAGCCGCTCAAATCCGATCAAGTAAACACAGACACTTATATTGGTTTCAAACTGTGTGGCCGTGGCAGGCTTCTTGTTAACTGTTCTTACAGCTTAAATTAATCCATTTCTATTAATCTATACCTTGCCACGTGGCTTGTGGCTTACCGGTACTTTACATCTTCCTTGTCCTGATGGCGGCTGGCAGTGTCTCCCCCACTCAGCCTTCCACTTCCCAGCTCTATTCTCCTCCTTGTCCCACCTACACTTCCTGCCTGGCCACGGGCCAATCAGTAATTTATTCATTGACCAATCAGCAACACATTTGACATACAGACCATCCCACAGCAATGTGTAGTAAAGCTTAAACCTAGAAGAGCTAGAAGGATTCTTAGCACACAGAATGATTACAAATGGGACTGGTTGCTGTGTTGGCTCCATGAATATTTCCTCAGCAAATGTGGACCAAGGCTTTTATCTTCATGGGCATGGGAACATGTTTTTCTTTTATTGGATATCCATTTGATTTTTGTTAAATTCTTGCAATGTTGAGAAGGCACATTAGCTTTTTTAAAATTTATTTAATTTTACATATCAGCCACAAATTCCCCTGTCCTCCCTACTCCTGCTCCCCCTCCTGCCTTCCCCCCAATCCACCCCCCATTCCCACCTCCTCCAAGGCAAGGACTCCCCTGGGGATTCAGCTCAGCCTGGTAGATTCAGTTGAGGCAGGTCCAGTCCCTTCCTCCCTTCACCTAAGCCTCCTAAATAGTTCAAGCTAATCGACTATCTCACTTATCCAGAGGGCCTGATTCAGTTCCATGGGGGCTCCTCAGCTATTGGTTCATAGTTCATGTGTTTTAACTAGTTTGGCTATTTGTCCCTGTGCTTTTTCCAATCGTGGTCTCAATATCTCTTGCTCATATAATCCCTCCTCTCTCTCGACAACTGGACTCCTGGAGCTCCACCTGGGGCCTGGCTGTGAATCTCTGCATCTGCTTCCATCAGTCATTGGATGAGAGTTGTATCACGACAGTTAGGGTATTTGGCCAACCGATCACCAGAGTAGGTCAGTTTGGGCTTTCTCTCGACCATTGCCAGTAGTCTATTGTGGAGGTATCTTTGTGGATTTCTGGGGACCTCTCTAGCACTTTGCTTCTTCCTATTCCCATGAGGTCTTCATTTATCATGGTATCGCTTTCCTTGTTCTCCCTCTCTGTTCCTGATCTCCCGCTCCCCTAAGCTCTCTTTCCCCCGACCCTTGCCCTTCATTACCCCTTCACGTCCAGTTTGCTCATGTAGATCTCATCCATTATAACACAGTTGTTGAGAAGATTGGACACAGAAGAAGTTCAACAATATTCTCAAAGTAAGATTGAAATTGTAGTAATGTGAGCGTTAGGTACTAAAATTAGAAATGGATCCCCAAGATGAAAGCTGGAAAACTGACAGCGTCATTTTAGAACACTGGTCACTTCTATCACAAAGAAACTTAGAATTTTCCACCCCATTAATCCCTCCTTGGACCACAAACCGTCTCCTTGCTCTTTGTTTAAACAGTGATTTTGCTGTTTCTGGTTGAAAATAGAAGTTGAATGACTGGAGATTGCTTTAGTGATTTCTCAAATTTAGTTGCTCAGCATAATTTTGAATATGTAAAGACCAATATTCAGTTCAGATGAAAATAAAAAATAATTAAAATTATAATATATTTGTCTTTTTCTCAATGTGCTACAGTTTTTGCTGTAAAATTTCTATCAAAATTCATTTTATATGATATTTCATTAAGATCTTAATTCAAGAGAATTTGGACCCTTCTGTATTTAATCCTAAGCCTCCAAACATGGGTTCCATATATATTTATTTACTGAGAGATCTCAAATTAATAATTTGATGATGTACCAAAAGTCTTAGAAAAACAATAACAAATAAAACTCAATGACAATAGGTGTAAACAGATAATATAACAGAAACAAAAAGCAAAAATCTATACAAAGAATAGTTGAAACAAAAAGTTGATTCTTTGAAAAGATAAAGAAGGTAGATAAATTGTTAACCATATTTGCTAAACGAAGTAGAACACCCAAATGAAATTAGAAATGAAAACAGAAAAATTATAACATACAATAGAATCTGGAAAATCCTAAGGACATACTTTAAAAACCTCTACCCTACAAAATTGGAAAATATAAAAGAAATAGTCATGGTTTATTACCATAAAATGTACAAAAATCAAACCAAGATATAATAAACAATTTAAACAGACTCATAATCGACAACAAGATGAAAAGGAGTAATAAAAAGTACCCTGACTAAAAAAAGATAGATTTACTCTCCAGAGTTCTTCCAGAACTTCAAGGAAGAATTCA